ATTTTTCAGTTGTCATTTTCATCATAGTTTTTCATCTAACACTTGAGCTATCATTTGTTATTATTCATTAAAGTGTTAGCCTCTCCTAGTATTTAATTTGTTTTGTATTATTTATCAAGAGATGATTTGATTGTAAAATCACGTTGATAAAGTGTGGATCGTGTTGAGATCTCGGAAAGCTCAATATTGTGTAAGGATTGGTGCTCCTTGTTGTAAGTCACCGTGTGAGTCATACTGAGGTCCCGTAAAGCTCAACTTTGTAAAGGATCGGTGCTCCTTGTTTGTAAGTCACCGGAAGCGTTGTAAAGGGTTGGATTGCGCCATAAGTCAATCAACATAGTGAAAAGGCCTTGCTCTTGTCGGAGAGTTTGGTAACGGAGGACGTAAATCATTGTTTTAGATCGAACCTCCACAATTATATCGTTTGCATTCTCTCTCCCTTTTAATTATCACTTTTATATTTGCGTTTATTATTTGAATTTATCAATTTAGTCTTTACTTGCTTTCTTATTTGTTCCTATTTGTTTAATTGACATATTTACTATCATATTGGTTTATATCTAGAATCAATTTTTGAAATGTTTAAAAAAAAAAAAAAAAAAACCAATTCACTCCCCTCTTGGTTAGTCATTCCTGGACTTTCAATCCATGCGTTCATATCATGTGAAAGTTTGTGTCCGACTCTATAAAAAAGAAGAAATTTTAAGGACATATTTGGTGCATGTATTGAACGAAATTGAATCGTACGATACATAAAATTTTAGATATTTTATTCCCATCCATCTTCCCAAAAAAGGATGTTTCGAATACCTTTCACTTCTTTCTATTTTTCCAGAATTTCTCTTGCAATCTTCGATGATCATTATTACCTATATCTCTAACATTTGGGGGTTGCTAAAATTGTTGTGTTGAGAGAGATTCAATAACCTTGGAGATTGTACATGGAAACACTCAATTTCAGTTTCAGAGAAAGCCAAGAAAATGGTGTTGCAGATTGTTACCCTCTCATTCGAAGCACAATTTGCTTATTTCACTCATATACTCACATTGTACTGCATGGACCACAAACAAAAAGCGACCCATCTATTGGATTTAGAAAGTAAAATATTCTTTCTTTGATATAAGAATCAATTAAAGACATAATTTGTATGTTAAACTAGATAAAATTAAATTGAGCGAATCAAGAAATATTTAAAAGTGAAAACTTGTCATTTGTCATTTTCAATTTCGTCCAATTTGAACATATTTTTATGCTACAAGTTTGTAGAGACCCTGTTTGTGGCCTACATTCAGAAAGATAAAGGTGATTGAACTGAATTAGGCACAAGACTTTTGGCAACAATAATGGGCTGAAGCTTTTGGATCTTGGAATAATGACACTTCAAAATTTTTAAGAAAAATGAATGGAACAAAATTTTGAAAAATTACAATTGTTCCCAACTTATTCGTAACTACCAATTCGTGTAATCCCGACTGGTTAGGGATTATTATTTTCATAGCTGAAGTCAAGGGTTCAAAGATTAGTACCTCCTTACCCCCAACCCTACTAAAATAAATAAATAAACAAATTATTCAAGGCCCAGATCTTCTACTCATTTTTTAGGAGTCATCTCCAATCTTTTCGCCATTCCAACAAAAATGTTTAGAAAAATCTACCGTCAATGAAGAGCCTAGACAAAGTCCAATCAGATGGCGATGTTGCAAAAGTTGTTAAACATCAAGATCCCTTCAGTTCAAATCTCACAAAGACTCCTTTGTCAAAAAAATCTAGAGTTTTGTGAGTGTAGGGTGAGCATTGCTAAAAATAAACTAACGTAGCGATGTATGCCACACGACATGTGGAAAGAATCTTTTTGAAAAGTAACATTACCTACATGCCTACTTTATACAACTACAAAACTTGCTCGAACTCAACTTCTCCACTCCTATACCCATCAGTTGCCAACCCAACACAATATTCTAACCCACAAAGACTCAACTTTATGTTGCATGGTGCATTTAACCTAACTTGTAGGACCTTTTTGATTAGGCCCCATGCATTTTATGCCGTTCTTGAAAAGCTTACCAAAAAAAAATAAAAAATAAAAAATGCAATCTCTATTCTTAAAAAAAATGCCCATTTTTCATTAGTTAATCCTTGTCAAGGGTCAATTATTGAAGCTTAGGAGGCATTGTGAATGGCCATTTTAATATTTTCTTGATTTTAGAACAAAAATTAAGAAAATACATGGGGATGGAAACCAAATGTTGTTGACCACATTTCATACAATTTTTACTTTCCTTAATTGAATTGCGCCGTTTGCTGCGATTATTAAGCTATAACTACTTTTGGCCATTAGATTAGGAGCCTTAAAGATATTACTTAGGGGTCCAAAATCTTGGTATGCTAAATTTAATCCCATTAAATACCATTTGGACTTATTTAATTAACCCCGTAATTTTTTGAGTTTGGCACTTAACTAAAGCAAAATTTGATTGCATTCGGAAAAAAAAAATAAAAAAATAGAGCACAATTTTATTGATTTTTAATCTTAAAATAAAAAGTCACGATTTTTATATATCTACTTGTAGAGGCATAAAGTGAATTAATTTGATCCATCCAAAATAGCGTGAAGAACAGTGGCCTTCTACCTAGGCAAACGATTTTTTCTTTTCTTTTCTTTTCTTTTTTTTTCCGATTTTTTGGGGGGTTATATTCAATAAAACAATAAAAACTAAAAAGTGCACCGTATGAGTTGCGGGGCATGGGTAGGAAGGTCACTATTTTATGTAGACTACTCTACGACACGACATGTTCCACTCTTAGTTGAGTCAATTCTGGGTCGGGCCACTTTACTCAAATTTACACGTCTCATATATGCACACCCTCTCCTAATCCAAGTAAAAAGAGTGATAATTATGACTCATACGATAAGCAAGAGGTCTTCATGTGTCATTACACTCTAAAATTTACCGTTATTTAATACGAGAGAGAAAATGCAAAAACTTTCTGCAGAAGACAATATCAAAACAGCAGATCATTGCAAATATAATTAAGAATCCATTTTGGAATAAATTTGTTGAAAGAAGTTTCCTAGTTATTACTGAACCTCCCCCCACAGAACTAATCAGATAAATATATAGGAGAGAAAGGACCCAACAAAAGTAGACAAGTCTAATCCTAAAGCAATGTGCACTAATGAATGGTGGGGTCGTTCTTGCCCATGCTCTCAAATCCATTAGCTCTCTTCATTATGCCATGTTAATCACCTTATAATATCACATACTCTTCTGTCCATTTTTTCTTATTTAAAAAAAAATAAAAATTCGTGTGCCTTTTCCCCACCTTCGGAACAATCTCAACCAAACACAACCCTCTTAGAATTTGTGCATTTGCCAAAAGTATATGTTTAAAACTTAAAATTGATTGTTATTTGTAGGAAAAGTGTGCAATAAAACAAGATTCATTATATGGGTTGTTAACTCAAAACCTTACGATAGTCCAATGATATTCAGTATTTACGGTACGTGAAGGTTACTTAAACTGCCACAAATCTCCACAGCTCAAGATCCTTATCGAGGAATCTGTATAGCATAGAGGAAGAAAGGGATTTCATGGATTTCTTATTCTTCTTGTTATAATTGTTCTATATTTAGGGACTTCTAGGGTCCTATTTATATGCTCAAATGTAAGCCTAATTGAATCAGTAAAGGATTCTTAGCCTCCATTCGATGCGGATTAAAATCAGATTTTTAGTAAATTTTGATAGAAGTTGATTGAATATGTGATTGAAAAGCCGTGGACCCCATAAGATATGTGATTAAAATTAATTACTGACTTTAACTTAGATTCACCATCAAATAGGGGCTTGTATCTGGCCAGCAATTACGTCGACCACTAAGTGCACGCCAATTGAGCCAAATTAAGCCCAGCGTCCAACATCTCCCTCTCACACAGTGGGCGCAAAGCATGAATCTTTCTCATCGTGGCACTCTTCTATTCCTACTCGAGAAATAAACCGTGTGACCATTGAGCCACTTGCATAAAAGGTTTTGGAGCACTATACTAGCTGGAGCTCATCAAGACAAGTATGGAACATCCTTGAAAGTGTCTCGTTATGCCTTAGACATCTTCAACCACGTCGAAATTTAGCCTCTCCAAAACATCTGAGTATTCTTTCGGAGATATACTAATATTCCTTTTACTTGGATTTTATGCCACAATTATATTGCAGCACCCAGATGTAACATACTTGTCAACCATGAACACAAATCACAAATGTCATACTGAATTGTCTTCCAGTTGCCTTCATATTACTTAACATTAGCTTAAATGCTTTCCAACATTGCCCCGTTAGATCGAATCAGACATAGTTGTAGAATGCATGTTAGAGTAGCTTATATTACACCTGCACTTTGTAACATAGTCGAAACTCAGATAATACGCAATGTATTTGTGATCACTAAACAAGAAGTAGATCAAAACGTTAACAATCCTTTTATTTGTTTTAGCTGAGTATAAACCAAATAATCTTCTATTTAAAGTTGCCATCTTCACTCATAGTGCAAGCAACAATGGTCCTTTAAGAGAAGATAAACGCTATAATAACCCTTAACGATGTCACACAATCAATATCTAACTCAAGTGCCTCCCAAGTTGCAAAAATTATTTGCCTATTACAATAGTTCAAAAACATTGACCGAAGCCGGGTGCTTTTTTTAAAGAAAAGAATATGTTCTCAATTTGAATATTCATCAAGAATGACTGACTGATGATCGTCATTAGTTCACAACTCTTTTCAATTTGGATGGGGGATTGTTTGGTAGTTGGAAGTTTGGGTGGGCAATAGCACTATAGCATAAGGCTTATCTGGCAGGGGCACACAAGTTGATAGAATGATTGGATCATGAAACAGGGCTCGTGCCAATCAACTTTTCTTTCTTTATAATTCAATTTGTTAGGCATAAAAGTAAAGGCCAAGAAATTAAAGAAGCTCAGTACTCACTTGTGACCCCATTTTCAAAGAGAAGAAAAAAGGTGTAGAAACATAACAGATGGTAAAGAAGAACAAATAACAAAAAGTAACTAAAGAATGCTGCCCTCTCCCCCCAATACCCTACCCTACCCAACCCTCTCATTTCTTTTAAAAACTCAACCCAAATCGAAAGCAGAATCCATAAAAGATTGTACATTTACAGTTCCTCAAGCACCCACCCACTCATCTCAACCCCTCCTCTCTGATTTCTTTTAAAACCTCATCAGAAATCAGAACTGAACTGAACCCTTAAATATTATACATTTACAGTTCCTCTAGCACAAGATCTGAAGAAGGAACAGAAGTATACACCATGAAAGGCAGAGATGGCAAAGGACCTCCTTCAGCAGATCTATTGGTATGTTTTCCTTCTAGAGCGCATCTAACGCTGATGCCAAAGCCCATTTGTAGCCCAGCTAGGCCCAACTCAGAGCCCAACAAGCGCCACCAGCACCAGTACCAGCACCAGCACCAGCACCACCACAACCGCCGTCCAAGGCTGCATCAACACTTGAGGAAATCTAGTAATAGAGGCGGTGGCGCCGGCTATGCTAGTCCTCTCATGTGGGCAAAAAACAAGGCGACAAGCTCTGAGATTGAAGAACCCACATCCCCAAAAGTCACATGTGCTGGACAGATTAAAGTAAGGTCTAAACCTAACACATGCAAGAATTGGCAATCTGTCATGGAAGAGATTGAAAAGTTACACAACAGCAAGAAACACAAGAAAAGACCTGCTTGGATTGAAGCACTTGGATTCAAGAAAGATATAATGCAATTCTTGACATGTTTACGTAGCATTCGATTCGATTTTCATTGCTTTGGTTCATTTCCTACAGCAGATATAACCTCAGATGACGACGAAGAAGATGAAGACGACAAACAACAGGCACATGATGAGGATAATGAAACTTCAAGAACTGTATTCTCCAAATGGTTCATGGTTCTCCAAGAAAATCAAAGCAAACAGTTCACCGAAAAGGAGAGCAAGGAGAAGTATTATAAATCAATTACTGATGATGATGTGCCTTGTGCACCACCACCAAATGCACTTTTACTCATGCGTTGTCGATCTGCTCCTGCAAAAAGCTGGCTGGAGGATATAGAAGCAGAAAAAAAAGAAAATGATGATCAAGAAGAGGAAGAGGAAGAGGAAGAGGAAGATGAAGATGAAAACGAAGACGAAGAAAAATTAACCAAGGAAGAAGAAGAAAATGCAAAGAGGAAAGAAAATTTAGTGTTGATGCAATATGGAGCCGATTTTTACAAAATTTCTTCTGATATTGCAAAAGAAACTTGGGTTGTGGGAGGAATAAAAGATTCACTATCAAGAAGTCGCAGTTCAAAGAGATGATATACATGAAGATTGATCAAAGATTGATGATATTTTGCTATCTTTTTTTCTTGTTAATTTTCATTAATTTTGCTTTACATCAATGTCTGATGGATGTTAAAATTTATTCATTTTCTGAGTTCCGTGTTGGGAAATCCTGATCAAAAGTCCATTCTTGGGCTTGAGGATTTATATTTGTATTTAATTTGATCTGTATTATATGTACAGTTTTATATGCTTTTAAGTTTTAAATATTTTTATTTCTAACTGCCAATTAATATATATATATATATATCTGCGTCTATGTGTGTATATACATTTATTATTTTGCATGGACTATTTGATAAAGAGATTAAATTGTTGTTAAATGATAATTGGTTTGGCTTTTATTTTACATTAAACGACTGCATTTTGCTCGTTTTGAGGGCAGAATCATCAGATCACTGATATATATCATTTATCTATTAGTTTTGATATAGCAAGCTGTCATTAATGTAAACTAGTTTTTATATTTAGGATATAAAAATAAAAAATAAAAAAATCCTCCTACCATTATTGATGGAGCCTCGTATTTGGCGGAGATTAAAAATCAAAATTTTAGTAAATTTTGATAAAAGTTGATAAAGTGTGTGGTCAAAAATTTTTGGATTCTATGAAATATGTGATTAAAATTAATTATTTACTGGATTTAGATTCAAAACTAAAATTTAATTTCTGCCAAACATGAGTGTCGTGTTTCTTTTGCAAAGTCAAGATTAAATTAATGATTTTTTTTTTAAATTATGATCAGAAAACTAATATGATATGCTTGGATTACAACATTTGTAATTTTGACAACGAAATGACTCGATTTAGTTTTTCGTGCATAAAATAATTGATTCTAGAGATGTCGTAAAAAAAAAAAAAAAAAAAAAAACACACACACACAAAAATGGGGCACGAAAACACCGTAGA